ACACACATTCAGATGCACCAAGAACAGCTGTGCCATAGCTGACATTTTAGGTAAAAGGAACAGAAGTGAAAGTGCCCTTTCAATTGACAGACAAGCTAAGGATTGAAGGTTCACTTTCAGGTACAGTGAAAGTACTAAATTGGCCACAAAAAAGAGCTGCTTTTATTCGGACTTAGCCTTCCCTCATAAACTTTTCAGAATACACACAGATAGTGTGAATAGTGTTATAAACTAAACTTGAATTTGATACTCAGTGTCCTAAATGCAGGCAGTTCCTGCCTTTTGACACTGCCTAGACACCCACCCAGTGTTAGAAGACAGTGGCACAAAATATTTTGGAGGCATTCATCCTTTTGAAGAAGCAGCATGGGCAAGAAAAACATCTTACAGCATAAGAATACCATACCTCTTAGGGTATATTATTTAAATACCTGCTGCCTAACACAGGAATTTAGATACGCAGATGGCTGGGTACTTAAAAAAAAAAACAAACAACCACAACACAGATAAAATCTGGTTTAGGAATTTAAAATAAAATGGCTATAATTTAGAAATAATTCTAAGGGAAAAGATTAAAAGATTTCTTAGGCCTAAGAAATTACATAAAGAACACAGACAAATTAGCAATACTATCATTGTCAGTGAATTAAGAGCCTTGCTGGAAAATGAAAGTTAGTTTATCTGTAAGGGAAAAAACTGAGCAAGAAGAACATATGGTGATTATTAATATCAAAGGACTTTTAGATGCAGTAGCAGAGCAAACCTCAGGAGTATATCTTCAATGCACTTGCATGCCTAAAAGACAAAAGTTCAGGCAGCATTCATGGGTGTATCACATCAGACAAATATGAAATAGAAACGTAGGACATATTGATAAAGCAGTAACAACTGAACTGCACACTTCCTTACTGAAAAGTCTTTGGAGTCTCTGAACAACATAAATGACAAAGGCAGGACAACAGGACTACTTGAGAAAAACAAGGGAGAAGTAAAAAAGCTTGATTTGGCTATAAAATAACCAAGGATCAGTGGTCTAAAGATACTGAATGTCTGTATGCACTAAGTAAACAGAACCATTTAGGATGATGTAGCTAAGCAAAACGGAGTTCAACTGTGAAAGAAAAATTTAACTTGTTGTTAGAAAAACATCCTGAGGTCTGTGGATCTCATTTGGAAGTCTCTTGTGGAAAATCTTCAGTACATTTAAAGCACGTTTATCTAAGGCATTAGAATACATCACATCTTAAATGACAGAAAATCTCTAGGAATTCAGACACGTATCCATACCTACACTCAAATTCGCAGTTGTGCTATGACCTTCTTCCTCATTGGCAGCATCAATAACTAAAATCCTCTGAGGCAACAGAAATGCTAAAAAGTACTTGTCAAATTTGAATTAAGTGGTTTATGCTTTTGCTGAGAAATTAGCATCTCCTTATCTTCTCAAGGACATTTTTCCCATCCCACCCCCAAAAACCTTCTCTAAGACCTCACTATGCCTTTTACTCTTCTGCCTACTGCTCTTTTTCCTGACCCTTTGGACATATGGATCACTTAGATGGTCCTCTCTAGCAGGTCTCCTTGGAGCCTGAGCCTTACTCCTTTCTCTGGGACTTCCTTAAGCAGTGGTAACTCAGGAACTCAGAACAAGTGCCATCTCCTCTTTCCTCTCTCTCTTAAAAAGCACAGACATGTAGAAAGGCTTCTTGTGGCATTTGCTTCTGCAGGCTACCAGAACTGTCTGCAATGAAACACCTCTGCCTATACATACCAAAACATGAAAATTAAGGGCAGATCCAGCATTAGATCTCAAAAGTAATTAAACGTAGCTTTTACCTTCCAATATAAATTTGGAGGTGGCTCCTAACCAAAAATCTGCAATCACATGAACATTATTATAGGAAAAGTACAGGAAAAAAGTTTCATTGCCAGGTCTGTTGCCTTTTTTTTTGTTTTGTTTTGATCTGTTGAATTCTTTCTCCATTTGATTACAGTTCCTTCCACTGGCTACTCCATCATCTTCCACGGCTTTCATAGCTCAGCGTCACTAGTAGTACATTTTACCTGGGCATCATGTTCTGGGCTCAAATCCTCCAGAAAGGGGGGAAAAAAATCCATCAAGATTATTAAATAAAAGGTCATAAATCCAGCCTAAAATGTTCCTGAGCTTCAAACTTCTGTGACATGTGATGATGTACCAAAGGAGTGTAAGTTCCTGCTTGCTGATTAGATGCTTACACTTACCATCTGCCCTTGGTCACCCCTGAAGATAGACATAGATGGTCGTTAGTCTGAAATGGACAGCTGTATGCAACACACATCAGCATCAGGCACTGCCCTGATTTTAAAGCAGCAGGTCTTGGTGAAGCCACTACCTGTCTGTATAGGAACGGAGCAAGCATATTTTCTCCAAGAATAACAAGGCCACAATGTTATGTATTTTTCCGGAATTGATGGCACCATTGCACAGCTGAATTATCAGCTATGTCTGCAAAGGTTTCCTGAGAAAAAAAAAGAAGTAGCTGCAGAGTTTATACCAACTTAAATCCCAAGGCAAACCATCCAATAGCACAGGTAATCCTATGTATACATGAAGCTATAACCCATTTTTATTCCAGAAGTACTGTTGAAATAGCTGCAATTATGCTAAATTCATCATAAAAAATTCAGCATTCAGTGGTTATCAAATATTATGAAACCAGGTAATACAGCTCTAATAATGCTCTATACTTGTTGGTTTTTTAAAAAAGGTATTGGAAGGATCACAAATTACTTATTATGTGAGGCTTTTGATACTCTATGAACTTTGAGTATCTCAGTCAAGTCAGTCTCACTTGATTATTTTTAAACTGCTTATTGCTTGTGGACACTTCAAAGACAAGGCAAATGGTTCCAAACTTTCATGAATGAAACTAGATGGAACACTCAAAAATTGTCCAGATTTGCAAGCCACATGGCTCAAAGGTCAAAACAGAAAAATATTTTTTTATTTCTTTCAGCAGACCAATAACCTATCACCTCTGTTATCCAGGAGTGATCACTGCATAGACTCTGTTCATTTATTTTCACCCTTGAGTTTTTCCCTAGTATTTATAAAGTATCCTTGGGAATAAAATACAGCTTTGTGACCACACAGTCAGGCTGTTGAGCATTCCTAGGGCCAGCAACTACTCCAGATGCTTCTTTATGATGAATAATGCCTATTAAAAAGAGTTCCAGTTGAGATTCAAATACTATTTTTTATCATTGTGTTTATTTTTACCAGTGCTATTTCTCCTGACAAGACAATATAAGTTCAGTTCCCAAATGACATTTTTTATTGCAAAAAACACCTTTATTTTCATTACTTATTACTTTATTACTTATTACACTTCTCATTTTTATGCTTTTTTCCAGTTACTTCATTGGTCTTTTCTGTATGGATCAGAGTACAGAAAATAAACAAAGGTGGCAATTAAAAGGAAAAAACAAAGAACCTGTAAATAAAACTATTTAGAAAGAAAATCAGGAATGATTGAAAGTGAGTTATGTTGATGTTCACTTTCCCAAATATTATAGCAAACAATTTTACTGGCTAACAACAGGTGAACAATTATTTTCTCATAATATTGAATATTAATGTGAATTGGTTTGACTTTTTCTGAACTAAAACTAGCTTTAAGTGTTACAACAACCTAGCCACAAACAAGAAATGAAATTTTATTTGATGTTTTATATTAAAAACAAATTACATACAGTAATGTAAATGCATGCCTAAAATCTTGCTCAGAGGAAGAAACATTTTGTTGAGCAGTTACACTGTTCCAAGAAAATGAATACCAGATAGGCAAACTGGAATAACTTTAGAGAATAACATAAAAATGTGTTTGGGAACAGAAAATACTGACTTTCCAGGAAAAGCTTTTCATGCAAAAGTCATTTGATCAAACAACACTGCCTACACAACTACCTGTAAGCCTATTGTGCTGTCTGAATTAAAAGCTTGCTTTTCAGAGCTCCCCAGGGAATACAGCTAAGAAGACTCATCAGAGCAAAGTCTTCTTAAACAAGGCAAATGAGTGACAGCACAGAAAGCATGCAAATCATATTAGCAAATAAATAGGTAAAACAGAAAGAAAAAGAGAGAGGAATCAGTTTCCCTGCACGATGTATCTAAAGAATCTCCCACCATTCATGGCTAAAAGCTGGAAAGCACTCAAGAATCTACCAGAAGGAACAATAATGTACTGGCCAGAGCTGCAGATGACCTAATAGGTTTGCAATTATGTCCTTACAAAGAACAAGTGCAAAAAGCTACAGCTGATTTTTCAAAACAACTAGCCTATTAATAAAGCTATAGGATTCAACTGTAAGCACTTCAAATAATACATGAACATCAATTCAGCAAAATGGTAAAATTTCTCCTTTAGTGGGGCTTTTTGATTCTTTTCTAATTGCCTAAGATACTTTTGTTAATCTTTTTTTATGTTCAGAGAATGCCCATCTATGCACATTGTGACTCATGCCCAGGAAAAAAAAACACACACTGTCAGATTACATAGTTACAGAAAGTCTACAGTATCAATTTATTTCTCCTTCATGATTCACACTGTAACAAATTTCAATGTTTATGGGAAGATATGTATCACTGAAGTGGAAATCCATTAATAACAGTATGAAACTCACAGCCAGTTGTACTGGACACTATAGAAATAAAGTCTTAATCTATTTTTTAACGAGAGAATGTAAACTGACAGTTCCCTACCAACATCCAGTCCATTCTGGCTTCACTGAAGTTTACACAATATCACTTCATTTTTCAAAACATCAGAGTTAGCTGGACAAAAGACAGCTCTGCTATGCTTATGCATACTGCAAGTCTAACTCTAGCAAGTGACATGATCAAAATAGGACAGACACCTTCTCCCATGCAACTCTAGGCTAGGACAGTTCGTACGCTTCTCTTTGTACAGGAAAACAGGGCTACTCTTCAGAAGTTTAAATACCATCAATAATCAACTGAAAAGTTATTAGATCACACTTCCTCAACTCAGATTCCTCCTATTCCTATTTTAAAACCTGTCTTCATGATTGACTGGAACCAAAATGTAGGATTTTTTAACAATGATAGCTTCAGTTCATATTGTTTTGTCTATTTCTAGTTCCAAAAAAAACTTTGAAAATAACAAAAGTAGAAGTATAAAGATGTTTTTATATCACAGGAAAAAACAAGGATCTTTGTTTGTGGAACTATGGAAAAATTCATGCACTCTCTGCTCTCCTAGGTGATGAGGGAGGCCAGGTTTCTATATACCAAGTTCCATATTTTAAAACAGAGGACTTCTCAATTTTTAGATACAATTGCATTTCTTGTTTTCAGTTGCTATTTTTTCCTGTCAAACTAATTCTGCCTCCAGAAGGAATCACCGTAGTTAAATGGACCAGCTGTGATACCTAAGAAACAGCCAACATGTAACTAAGCAACAACATAGGAGAAATGCGAACGTTTTATAACGTGCAGCATGGAGCTTTCTCCTTGTAACTAGCAATATTTATTACCCTTACAGCACACAGTTCCAAGGAAGTATCAATCTCACAGTTTCCATCTTTAGCTGACAAAGAAATGAAATGTACTACCAGTAATAAAAATTCTTAACAAAAATAGAATGTTAGGTGTTTTTATGAAGCCATCAAAGTTGGTGGGTTGTGCCTCTTAAGTAGGAATAATACGCTAGAGGTACTAAAATTGATACACAAGGACAGATTTGGGAAAGACCTGGAATTAGCTACAATATCCTCATGAATCTTTTCACAGGACAGAAAAACTACTGAAAGAATGCAGTTGAATAGTACAATACAGCCCTTTGTTGCCATTTTCTGAAGTCTCTCTTATTTGTCAAGTGTGGACCATAATGGACCGAAATAACTCAATGTCCCTTCTAAGTTGCAGCCAATACCACAGATCATTAATTCCCCAGTCTATGATCCAATGTTTCTTTCATAAATTATTTTGTCTTCTCTGCATTCATCCACTGATATTTTCTAATGCTTTGGGACATCTTCCTGTATTTTATTCTCAATAATATTTGGCACCCCCCCTAATTGTATTTTCAGTGAAATTCAAGATGTGATGCTTACCTTCCCTTCTACTTCACCATGGAGATGTCAAAATAACACTATAACCTAATAACTCAACTATAAAGTTCAGTCCTTACAATGAGAATTAAAAGCTAGAATTAGTTAACAATTTCTAGTAATTGCATACACTTTTATTTTCCTGCTTTTGGTATCCAAGTTGAGAAATTATCCTCTTTTCAGAAACAAATATTTTTTATGCCTCCAACTGCCTTTTACCTTTTCATTTCTTTTCAGTTTTGTTTTTAATACAAATACTATAGCTTCTTCTTCTACTCCCAGCTTTTGGTCTGCCTTCTCTTAACATACCAGAGGCATAGGCAACACCATTTTGATGATACAGAGACTGCAGGCTGTTAACAAAATCTTAGTCAGCAGAGAAGCCTAGCTGTCAGCATATCAGAGGCTTCCAAATAGATTCAGAGATCTAATATATTTTTAAATTAAATCTTAGGTTATTTTAATATATTTGTTTCCTTTTATTCTGATACTGGATAATGGTCTCTTTTGTTTTAGCGACATATATTATTCATCTACTTTCTTCCAGTCTTCACCATCTATACTAATGGAATGCCAGCTTAAAAAGTAAATTCTAGGGTAAAAGAAAAAGGTAAAGATAAAAATGTATTTTTACAATGTGTATTTTAACACATAGAACACAGCTTAGAACTGCAATATATATATATATTCAACATTGTATATGCATATCTATATGTTTTGATGGACTACTTGAGGCAGGCTAAAAAGAAATTAAATTAACCAAGCTTAAACACTAGAAGGAATCCTCAAAACAAAATAGAGAGAATTTAAGCTGTCCTAAAGTGATTTCACTGCAAAAATGCTTAAGTAGTAGAGACTGAAGGTCAGAAGGTGGTAACTGCTGTAAATTGATGCAGAGAACAACAGCAGCACTCACAGCCTGTAAGTAAAGTAAGCAGAGGCTTTACAACAGTGTCTAACTCATTACATCATATTTACAGTACTTTAGGTTGAAGGAAAAATACCATGTTTAACATATTAACAGAATTGTTACTTAAGGGATATTCACAGCTTCAGAGAATGGAGACAATAACCTAAATCTGAAAATCTGGCAGCAGTGGTACATGTTTTTCTCCTGTTAGTTTTGCATTTACAAAATATGACTAAGTTTTTAGTACTCACAGGCTTACCATCTGGACCAGGCTGACCAGGATAACCATGATTTCCAGGCTGCCCAGGATCACCCTATGGAGAAGCAGTATGTTAACACACAAAAGATATGAAAGAGCACTTTAAAATTAGCACTAAACAACCTTAACTCTAATACATTCAACAAAACAATGGACGCAACCTACTATCAAGGAGTAATTCCTACAGCAAAAAGAAATCGATCTGGTAGCCCCCTTCCTGAGAAAATTCTCCCTAATTTCTTGTGCAGGACTTGGAGATGTGCTCAGTTACAGCGCAAGTTTAGCTCATTATCTCAAATGCTTTCAAGCTTTTTAACATCTTAATCAACAGAAATAAAGACACTTTTCATCAAAGAGGTGAAAAAATCTTTATTAGAACTTTGTTAATCTAGTAGTCCGACCTGGAAGAAAACTCGCACCATATTGGCTAAGTCTAGTTCATAAAGCAAAAGCACTGGAAAGGCAGGAGCCAGGATTAATAACTCCTCTCCACACACTAATTTCAGTAGAAAAAATACATTCTTATAGATTTCTTCTCATAAGGCCTCTGCAATTATTTTGATAACCTGTCATAATCCTGTTAAAGGAAAAGTCAGTTCCCCAGGCTTTATGTTTATGATAAGAAAGCAGGAACTTCCTACCCAATATATCCTCCAAGTGTATTAAAGTTCTTTATTTTACTAATGGACTTGATTTGAGCCCAGAAAAATCCAGTAAGACGTGATCTATAAAAACATTTTACTTCTACAGCAGTGTTAAGTAGGTACCACTTTCTTCAGCTTGAACCATCAACAGACCTGTGGGTCAGTTACAAATGCAGAATTTTTATAAATAGGGAGAATATTAGGAAGGAAATAGGAAACCAGCCTTCAATGTGACTGTACAAAAACATCTTTTCACATACAAACCACAGAAAGGTAATGATGGACTAAAGGGGAGAGGATATAAATAATGTCTCTTCAGAAAAGCATAATAGTTATAATTTGCTGCATTTAATAACAAGTTATTAACAGATTATTGTAGTCCAAATTAAGAAGTCCAGGTTTGAATGAAATACATATACATTCAAGTATAATTTTTCTAAACTATGAAATTTTATGCCTTTAACTTGAACAGGTTAAAGTATCAGTTACTTGTACATTAAAACATTATAAGTAATTTTATTGTACTCCATTATATCATAAACACAAATTAAGTTTAAATTCAAATGGTTCTAAACTCCAGTACTCAAAATTTAGGAAATACTGTAGCTAAGATAACTTATACAATGCTAAATTGGCTTCCTTTTCCATCTTTCTGCAATCTTCTGTGCTAGGCACTATCTTGACACCTGTATTACTCAGTTATCCCCCAAAAAATACACTGTAATGCAACTGAAAGATTGCAGCTGAAGCAGGGATCTAAATAAAACTGTGTAAGTAACCCAAATTCTGACATTTCATACTCCTTCAGAAATTTCAAGGATGTGCATTTCAATTTGTTTAATAACAAATACTTCCTTCTCTCTCTTTTTTATCTCATATGCTAAACAACAGAAAAAGGTAAAAGACCACAACAATTCTATTACATGAAATAAAAATGATCTCCTCTTTGTGGATTCACTGATCAGAAGCCCTTACCATTGTAGCAAGAAGTCCTTTAACTTGAGGTGGTTACAGCAGACTGTTAACCCCTTATATAATGAGAAGGCTCTTTTAAGTCTTTTGCTTAATGGAAGACAAGTAGCTTGGGGTGTTCTTGGCTACCCTGATAAGGCATCTAGTAATTCTGGAAGCACTGGTTAGCACAGTTGAAAGAGATACTACAGCAAAATACTAGCAACTTGAGTTTGCCGTGTTAGACATTGAGACTCAGGTCTGGTTCTCAGTTTAGTCCTTCACCAACACTGAAAAGAGGTCAGCAGAACAGCTAAGGCAGAACTCTCCAAGTAAGCATCTAGTCCCTTCTTTAATAAAGAAAGAAAAAACTTCTCCATTAAAGTATTTTTACTAGTGATCAATTTCATTCTCAAACAATTAACCGTGTGAGGTCATTTGCTAAAGAGTATCAAGGAAACACAATCTTACATCCCTGAGTATTTTCTTTAAATAATAAAGATATATTTGTGTCATTAAGAGCTATGGCACAAAACCTGGCCTTGAGTTTCATAATCATTACATTCAGGCATTGGAAACCAGAACCAGGAGAACTTTTCCCCTAGTTTACTAATCTGACTATGACTGGTCAACGAAAGATATAAAGAAAGAAAAAAACAATAAAAAATCATATGCAGTCATTAAGACAGAATGGAAACTTACTTTGGGCCCTGGGGGTCCTTGTTTTCCTGGCGGGCATATGCAGGGAGCAGGTGTTGAGCCTACATCACTAGGACCATTCATGCACTATCAAGAGTGAAACCAACCATGAATACATATGCCAAAAGTATTCAACAAATGTGCCATAACATTATGTGAAGCTGATTTGCCTCAGCTTGCATAGGTCCTGGCTTTCTCTCCTTTGTTAACTTGGACTTCTGCTTACCTGCATAGTGCCCTCCAACCACTCTGCATGCCTGAATTTCTCATTTTACCCCAAAGACAAATAAATAGAATATTAAGTACTGACACTGGGCTGACAGATGAAATTCCATTTACTTTTCCAGAAATATTTTGTCATATGGTTTGATAATTTTAAATTCTGGCAACATGCAAAACTCTTCCCCTAAACTATTTGATATTCATCATTTGAAGTGTGATTAATTTTCAAACTTAAATATTTAGTTAAATTTTTAAAAAGGACTCTAATAAATACTATGTATAGCATAATGTTCACAACAGCCGGTAACAACGAGGTCTACCAAGTCTGAAAAGAACGTAAAGCACATGTCTGCTACTTCCTGGGCATGTGTCTCAACTACAAAGCTCCTTGAAAAGAGGTGAGGCATATCTGCTACCACCAGCTCTTACAAGCCACAAATCCTAGCCATCAGGGTGTCTCCAAAGACCACTAGGTCACCTCCTCCAAACTATGCTCCCTGTACAAATGGCAGTAAACACTGAACCTTGGTAAACCACATCACCCTCTAGAGATTATTTTCTAAATATCTACTTCTCACCATTGAGACCACATGAAACCCCAGTGTTCTATTAAGGAAGGGAAGGGGAGAGCTACTAAATCAAATCCATTTGACCAAGGTCAGGCACCCAAAATTTAGATGCATCTGCACTAAATCTGTATTCTGAAGTTAGATTCAGTGAATTGCTTCACCCAGCAAGTTTTTAGAGCTATGTTAAGGCAAAAATTCAAGAATCCAAGATACAAAACAGTAGATTTTGTATTTAATATCTTAACCACTTTCTGTAACATTTTACTCATACTTCCTAAAATAATGCAGGCTTTTTACAATTCCTGTGAAGGGAATTTTTTCTCAGGGTCAAATGATTGATCAAAACACAAATCCATGATTCCTTTGCAATGGTACCAAGTGGAGTTAGGAAAATGGTTAGGAAACCTATCATGTTAAGCCTTCAAACAAGCTCCCCTTCAGGGAGCATGACACAGGTAACAGCTACCTGATTGTGCATATCCCCATTCACTTTGCAACAGCATCCAGCCCTGCAAATAAGAGCAATTAAATTGAATCAGGGGAAAAACATCAGACCATCTATTCTAATTAACATGGGTTTTATCAGAAAACTGATTTTCGTGTACTGACTAGAGTTCAGTTAATAGAAATCCAGCACTTTTAAGATCAGCAAACCTCTGTCCACCTTTCACTAAATAGGAAGAAGTTTATATAAAGTCAAATACTACCTTAAAGCGAGTTTGAGCAGTTTAGGATTGAGCCTACCTCTCCATTCTGAAACAAGAAGAAACACAGTTTAAGCATATAGCAATATTTGTAATAAGTGAAATCCATTCGTTTGGAAACATTACCAAAAGAAATCATACATTTAGGGCAGTAACTGTCAAGTAAACTGTAACTGTCAATAATTCAAAATTTTAGACATCATTAGCTTACTCACTCTCATCAGAGAATATATAAAAATATTTCTAAAATGTCTGATCTCTGCCTGAATCCAGCATCTGGGAAAACATCCACCAGTACAGAGGCAAGGCTGGCTTCTTCTCATTGTCCTGTGTGAACTCCATTAGACTCTTCTATCAACTGAATTGAGTTTTCCAGCATCAGAAACACCACCAAACAACCCATCCCCAAATATTTCAGCATACCAACCATGAATTTGCCTGTCTTAATGGTTTAGTAGCCACCATTAGCTGCACCATGTACAGCAGTCTTCTAATGCACACAGTCACCACAGACTTCATACACAGTCTGTGGGAAGAGACAGCTTCCTTTGTATTTAGTTTTCATATTAGGCAACCTCTAGAGAAGGTTATCTTTCTCCATGCATCATAGAGGGAGCTTAAAATTACAATGCAGCTAGGTATCTCCAGGAAAGGGGATGAAATCAGGCTGTAAGTAGCACACACTGCCCCTGCTTAGTTCAGGAGCTCCAACACAACCCTTTCTGACAGAATACAACCACAAGTCTCCTTGGAGATCATCCAACATTTTTATTTTCTGAAGGAGTCCAGAATTTCATGGGTAAAGTCCAAGTATAATTTACAACAGCAAGTGAAACTAAACTGGCGAAAAGCAATATTTCTGGTTGGGCCTCTTGCCAAATGCAGAGAACACAAAATACAACAGACTTCTTAGTGTTTGCTTCCTTTATGCATAATGGTTTTTTTATTTGTTTACCTTTCATATCCTACTTCTATTTTGTAAAGAGCAAAAAGATGTGATGCAGCTAAATAGCCAAATACTAAATAGATCTCAGGATTTAAAGCTAACTTTACAGAAGTGTTCCTGAACCCATTAGTTCTTGACACACAGTGTCAGATTTCAGAACAGCTAATAATCCAGCCATCTACTCATTGCTTAAAAGAAAGATGCAAGTTTTGAAAAAGCCCTAACACAAGGATGCTTATTGCAACAGAAATACTGGCCCCAAATAAGTAGAAGAAAAACAGACTAGGTGGGGGTCTGTGCAAGTCTGACAAAGAATAAAGTATCTGGACTTTGAAGATTCACAGGTTCTACAGTCAAACTGGCAAAGTGGTCCTAATGCTAAACCAAAACACAACATGAAAAATATAGGTTTACACAGCAAGACACTGATGTCTGATTAGCTTAAGCTCAGTTTGTTTTAGACAGAAATCAAAGGAGGACATTTTGAAGGAAACCGTATGTATAAAACAATCTCTTGCTTATACTTTGAGGGGGGGAGCTGAATGCTTTTGAAAATCTGGCTCCAGCAGTATGTGCATCCTGAATGGTTTCCTAATCTGTTTGCATGTGTTTTACATTTCAGTGTATAATTAACCCTAAGTAAAGGGCAAAGAGAGGGTCAAAGGATCCCCATAAGCTTCCTAATTGTGTACATGATTCATAAAATCCTGAACAGGACTTTTTTTTTTGTCTTGATCATAATTTACTTCATGAAATCTAGGTAAAATTTCAGTTAATGGGATTTTAAACACAGACACCAGCATAGATACTTCTGATAGGAAAAGATTATTTGAAAATATAGGTTTGTTGATTATGTACAAAAATTACAGAAATAAATGACCTGACATGTATGAAGAAGTATATAAGACAGTTAAAAATCAATATTTGACATATTTTACACTGCTGTAACCTAGAAGTTTTATTAATTTACAATACTTAAACTCTTAAATTGTAACCTAAGACTCTGAGATTCTTCTACACTGCTGTCAAATTTCCATCATCAAATATCAAAACTAAGAACTAAATTTTTTAAATACATTTGTGCAAAAATAAGGCTGAGACCTGACAAGTTCTGTATCACTTGACAATGGACAAGTAAAAAGCATTTACTTATTCTAAGTATTGAGTTAGCTTTAAACAGTTATTTGTAAAAAAAACGCAAGTGGTCCTCAAAAGTTCATCATACTCACAAATCCAGGGATTTCACAGACTGTTTCTCGATTATTTTGTTCTGGGTCACAGTAGATTCGTAGTTTTTGTATATCAAACTATAATTCAAAACAAAACAGTCCTATTTTAGAGAAAGTGTTGGTAGTCTGACATTAACTTAGTTTAAACTATACTTTTCTTAAATCATATCATCCACAAGTTAAAAAAAATAAAAATTAATTTAAATTAAATTAAAAATTAATTAAATTAAAAAGCAAGGGAAACTGGAAGCTAAGTTAAAAACCAAATAAAGATGAAAACATTTTTAGTCAGGCTACTCACAACGATTAATACATGCAACCAACTAAACATTCTGTAACAGAATTATTTAAAGAAAACTAATCAGTCCAATAGTTTGTTTTCTAAAATAGTAGAAATCATTGGTAATAAATCCAAACACACAGAGCACTAAGTACACTGGCTCCCAGCATTATTGGGAACCAACTTACAACAGGACAAGCAAAACCAAGCTTTTCCTTTTTACCTTAACAGCTCTGGGATGATGTTTCTACACTGACCTCTCTCTGCTAGATGTAAGATTAGTAAGTTTTGCTGAAACATCAGAAGGCATCCCTGACTCTTGAAAGAACTTGGTTGTGAGTTTAGCTGTATAACATAAAACATGAAATGTAGATAAAAACACTGGCACCAGGTAAGCAGAAGTTTGTGCCATCCTGCTATACTCAGAAAAATTAAACAGATGAAATAAGTTTTTCTAGCATAAGGTGCCATGACTGCAAAGAGAAAAAAGCCCTGCTATGCTTATATGAAATCACAGACCAGAAGTTGGACTAGCAGGGGAAGGAAGCACAGAAAATGGAGTCTGTTAATACCATGCCTAACAGTATCTGTTCTCAAATTTGAAATGCTCACAATTCACAGTTCTTAAGTATGTACACAAATTTATCATCATGACACAGGTAAGCACTTCAGCCAGTAAGACCCTGAGTTAAATCCAGAACAATTGCAATATATCACTGGAAAACAACTGAATCAGAGCACAGGAGAATGAAAATTCTCCAATGAATCTGTGAAGAAGATTCTTGTAAGACACACTGTATCCAACAGCGACTGATTTCTGTCTTAAAGGACCTCAAAATACTTTCTCACTGAAAGGCAGTAAAGACTCCTAAAATCATAGAAATGTCTGTGTTGGAAGGGACCTTAGAGACCACCTAGTTCCAAAGCCCCTGCCATTGGCAGGGACATGCAGATTAATCAAAATATTTCTCTATAATCATAGCTGAAATAGCAATATCCTGGCAAAGTTTGACTGCTAATGCTTTGCAGAATGCATCACAGAAGTGAAGGGAAATACCTCTTTTACATTACAGAAATCATCTGGAAATATAAAATTGCAACCTGAGGCTGATTTTCTATTTTTATTCTAGTCCACTATCAGAAGAGGATCCAATACAATTCCACATTCCTAAAATGTTTTTGGTTTAGATAACCAGTCTTGCTGCTAACACTCTTTAACTCAGAAGCTGTATTAGTGGGAATCTATAAAAGTCCCATTTCTGCAATGACTTCACAGAAAAAAACAAGACACGACAACAACAAATAAACAACCCTCTAATCCTAGAATGCACAGAACTATAAAAATGAGATAATCCTGCACTGACAGAAAAAATGCATGATAGAATCACAGAATGCGTTGGGTTGGAGGGGACCTTAACGATTATGTAGTTCCAACCCCTCTGCATGGGCAGGAACACCTTCCACTACATCAGGTTGCTCAGAGCTCCTACAATTGATTAAAATTCTGAGATCTGTTTTATTTCAGTGCCTGAAGTCCTATCAGACCTCTGTGACAAACATTCAATAGTTTTCACAGAGGTACTTTAGTATACAATGTTACCACCAGAAATGCCAAGTCACACACACAGTGCATCATCCAAGTTTCCATGTATACTTTTAGAGTATGATAATAATAGAACTGTTAAATATACAAAATTCAGCAGTAACTGAGTAAAGACACAGGAAGAGAGAAACACATTAATATATTTTAATAGCAGCTGTAAGGATCATGAAATTAGAGTACATCAAAAAACATAGCTTGCAAGATAACTAAAAATAATGTCTATTTATGTAATTCAGTACTTCTTAGTATTGTTTCCATTATTATCAGTGTGATTAGTAATGTCATTACCACATTGCTATAAACATAAGGAAACAACCTATTTTGTCAGCATCTGAAATACTGAAAACATAATAGTCTTCAGCACTGGTCTACACAGCCATTATCCCTACAGCCTGAAGTTTTAACCCACTTTTTGGTGTCTGCAAAGAGCTGAAGACAAAAGGACTTCAACGTTAGTAAGAAGAGAAGCAAACCTTAGCACATGGTTTTCCGGGGTTTTTTCCATCACAGCAGAATGAAACAGTGGCAGTTTGAGAGCCAAATATTTGCATTATGACAGAAAAAGAGCTGATACACCTTGTACTTTCATTATAGCTAACGATGACAAAGGAACTTGATAAAAATTTTGTTCTCTCCCTCTTTTACCAGCATAACCCATGCACAGACAGAAGGAAATTATATGCAAGTGTCAAATACAGAGAAAAGCCCCTGCTTTGAGACACTGTTTCCCAAATTCAGGTGACCAAACTGCATCAAACTTGTGTTTCAGTAAAAATGAATGTCCCTTGAAGTCACTGAGAGCAGCTAAGCAACCAACCACACAGGATATATCAATTGTGCTCAGTCCTCCTGACCACTTACGTTCCCTCTTAACTACTAAATTTTTGAATATTGAATTTCAGCCTACTGTAAATTAGAAGAGTGCCAATGCAATGCTAACCTACAGTAGAATTTCTGAATTACTGTGGTTTTAGCATACACTTACCTGTACAGTTTCCTCCTTTCCAGAATACTTTCCTATTTGGGTTAGGCCACTGATGTAAATACCTAAAACAGGATGTAATGGCTTTGTTTCAATTTCTTGGCCATCTATATACAAAGTTACAAAGTCTTCTGTTACTAGGAGACGAATTTGATGCCAGCCTTCATCAAACAGTATCTAAGAAAAGTGGAAGAAAACAGAATTGTTTAAAACAAAGTATCTTCAATTTAAAGAGCAATAAAACTGCATTTTAATTCTTAAATGACTGTTAATGTTTAAGGTGACCAATGCTCCTAGTTTTGTCATATAAAAATTGTAAACTGTTTAGGTAAAAAGGTGTTTGCCAAGTATTATTAAAATTGAGGACATGACATTTGGTAATAATTAATCTCTATCTCAGAATAATTTCATAACTCACAGATTTTTTCAGTCTATGATCTTGAACATGCTCAAATCTGTGTTTATTAAAAATATGAAACTAGAGGCCTTTTTTCAGCAGTGGTATAATAGCTCAAACACTTCAGCTCTTAAATCATGGTGAAAACAAACTGGTACTTTAAAGTCTTTCTACTTAATATTTTATGAAAAAAATCTTAAAGATTACACAATATTGGCAGAAAGAACCACAGTATTGCAAGGATTAAAGTAAATGTTACTTTCATCATCTCAAAAAACCTCAGATTTCTAAAGTGTAAAATTTAAACAGATTAGTTCTAAAAGTCATAGAAAATGAAAGATACCTTTTAAAAAGTATTTATCTAACCTACCTTAAAAATTAAATTTAACTTGGGAAGAATGTCTTCTTGAGCCTACCCGTTAATTTAAAAAACAATCCAACTCTTGACTTAGGCTAGGCTAGATGCTTATCTTTTAGCTAAATTTAATAGAGATTTATGTCACACTAAATTGACATATGTAAGAGTAAAATGATACATGTACTTTTCAGTATGTTACGTATCTTTGTTAGCTTTTGCAGACATAAACAGAAATTACGCTTAAATCACTTAACAGTGTACACCCTTAGCACCTCTGGTTTTATTTTATTTTCCTTTGCAGATTGGGTTTTTATTTATTTACAATGGCTCCCATTGCAAGATAAAATAAACAACAGATCAGAATATATAACATTTCCATTTTCCTCAGTAAAAGTCATAAACTATAAAAGTTTACTAAATAAAAATGTTCATTAAAAGCATAGTGACATTTATAGTGTGCTTAAAAACATAGCTCTAAAAAGAACATAAAATTTTTGTTCTCCATGATAGCAATAGGAGCATGGAGAAACACAAAAGAAAAAAAAGCTAGTCTTCTTTTCATAGTGAAGATCATGGATATCCGAGACTCCAGGAATAAGATTGATTCATCACTGCAGCTGCCAGAAACACTTAAACACAAATGAGCATTCCAGCATGATGATGACTCACTCCTTACCTTTACTCGAGGTACAGCAAAAGTAATAACTTGTGTGCCATTTATTAAACTTGTTGTAGTGAATGATAATGCTTTCTCTTCTCCATTAATAGTGACTGCAATCTGTGGTCTCTTATCCAGACTTAGAATTCTCCATAAATCCCATGTCTTTTTTACTTTAAATCTTTGTGTGGAAACAAACACATAGGATGGAGGCAGACCTTCTGGAAAAACATTCCTAAATAAGAGGGAAGAGGGGGGAAAAAAAGACAATATGTGGACAAGTCTAAACCTTGAAATAAATCTCTCTCATTTTTGGAAACAAAAAAAATTACTAAACTCAGAAGTGCATTTATAAATGTGAATACCTTGTCAATTCCGACAGGTCAACATGTGAGGTTACTTCATAAGCTTTTGCATTAGTGGTTGGTATCTGAATTCTCTTCTTAACCTTTTTCTTCACTCCTAATCCAACAAGAATGTCAAATCCTTTTTCATCTCGAGCTGCCACTGGAATTCGTGTTGGACAAACAGATTCTGCAAAGTAATAAACACAAGTATAGTCCAAAATATTACCTTGAAGTTTCAAAAAGCAACTTCCCACCTTACCTACTATTTTTGTAGCTGCCTTTCAAGAAATAAAAGAGAATTGAGAACTGTTAGTTAAATATAACCTGAGAGAAGTGACATGCAGAACCCTCAGAAACATAAAGCAAGAATACTGAAATTTCATAATTTACTGCAATGAAGTTCATAGAATCATAGAATCGTTAAGGTTGGAAGGGACCTTAAAGATCATCAAGTTCCAACCCCCCTGCCACGAGCAGGGATCCCTACCACTAGATGAGGTTGCACAAAACCTCGCCCAATCTGGCCTTAAAAACCTCCAGGGATGGGGCATCAACAACTTCCCTGGGCAATCCATTCCAGTTCCTCACCACCCTCATAGTGAATAATTTCTTCCTAATATCTAACCTAAATCTCCCCTCTCTCAGTTTAAAACCATTACCCCTTGTCCTATCACTATCTTCTCTGATGAAAAGCCCCTCCCCAGCTTTCCTGGAGGCCCTCTTCAAGTACTGGGAGGCTGCCATAAGGTCCCCCCAGAGCCTTCTCTTCTCCAGGTTGAACAGCCCCAACTCTCAGCCTGTCTTCATAGCAGAGGTGCTCCAGGCCTTTGATCATCTTCGTTGCCCTTCTCTGGACCCTCTCCAACAGGTCTATATCTTTCTTGTGCTGAGAGTTCACATACTATTTTGAATTGTCACTAACTGTAGTTAAAAGGTACTATCTGAATAACAAAAACAACAACAACAAAAAAAGTTATTTCATTTCTAAAATGGTATGACTTCAAAATGCTACAAAATTATAGATGTTAATTTCCACAGTGCACTAACGATTTGGATTAATCCAACATCCCTCCTATGAAACTGAAAAATGGACAAAGGTAAACTTATTTACAACTTCTTTTTTTTTCATCTTCTTTTCTTGAAATGGACCTTAATGTAGCCATTCTCACTGGACAAATACTGTGTGATAGATTTTCTGTGGAAACTAAATTTAGCTAAATATTATCTCTGTTTAAGCCTCTTCACACAAAAACAATACCAGGCAGTGGACCTAAGTTGTCTTGAAAAAAAAAAAGTGAAATAGCAGAGTGAAATTTAATGCTAAAGCCAACATTGTATTGTTCTTGTTTTATTAAAATTATGCTAAATTATTTACAATACATATATTTTCATAATATATTTCCCATTTTTTCTGCAGAAAAGCATCAGTTCACAGAAAGGTTAGGAATACATTCCAAAGAATGGGTGGAGAGTTCTCTCATCTCCATCTGGACCAGGCATGGGCTGGAAAATGCACATTTCAGTGCCAGGGAATTATCAGCTCAAAGGTCTAGACTCGCTTCTCTTTGTAATACAAGCAATGCTGCAAGATTCTCTTTCTAGCCAACCCAAGAGCAGTTGGAAGCTGCCCCATTCTGGTAGAGGAAGCAGGATACATAAACTCTAAGAAAATTCAGCTAAGTGTCTGCACAAGATATCTATGGTGGCTACCGAGCCTATACTAAAATCTTGTTTCCTCACAGCATTTTTCTATAGTTTTCAGATGAAATCCTGTGTAATGTGCTCTAGGTGATCCTGCTTTAGCAGGGACTAGATGATCTCTAGAGGTGACTTCCAACTCTGACAGTTGTGTGAGTCTGTGAGTCTGTTTCCTGAAGCATGAAATAGTTTTTTGATGTTAAATGATATTATCTAGCACAAAGGGATTTTTCTCAGCATCTTCCAGACATAGTTTGGAGGTCTGCATTGAGTATGGTTCTTAAATGCATCCCTGCCACACAAACTTTTCTATATTACTTCTAGAGAACGTTAATACTACAGGAACATTCAACTTCCAGAATAAATATTAAATATTCCTTAAATACCTGGAGATATTTAGCCATGTGGTACTTTCTGGATATCAGGATTAGCAGGTTTTTTCACCCTGCCTTACTTTAGAACCACCACTAGAGTTCCCAAAAGGCACATGAGAGCCCTCCGCTAGCAAGGCAGTTCTCATCAGCAGTACTTGCTGCAGGAACCGCCAAACCTCAGCTTCCTTTTTCCAGAAAGGAATTACTGCTGCTATGTTCTTGTATCTGTGTTCATTTAACAAGGAAGTTAAAAACATCAAAGTGTAAAGGACAGCATTTTTTTAGGTAAGAAAACAAAGACAATTGATAGAAATGCAAAAATTTTCAGGCAGTTTTATGTTCATGTTTTATGAACATAAAACATGTTTTATGTTTCAGGCAGTTGGTTGATCATAGCCAAAGCATTGCTGCTTTGTCCTCATGGAACTTCCTCTCCCATAGTGAATCTTAACAAAATCACTAAAATAATCCACCACTCAGGTATAAAATTTCCAGTTTACTAGACTTGGAGTTCACCCGCTAAAGACATTGCGGTTAGGAACGAAGCTGCCAGTTGGCTCTGATTGCTCTTTGACAGAGACATCTCAGTGCTAACACGAGGGAGAGCCCAATTTCAGAGACTGGAACCAAAGGGTCACTTAAAGAAAAACAGTAAGTGGACTTTTGTATATGTACTCAACACCCAGAGATCAATCTGTAAGAGTCACATCAAATACCACAGCTAAATTTTAAAGGATGTAAGTTAACTTAATTCTGAAAGCTGAAAATCCATCCTCATGGAATATAATGTCACTTCTTCTAAACTTTTTTAAAGAAATACTGTGTTTATTTTGGGGAATTTCTCCCTGCGTGATGTTTTATTAAAGAATTTAGCTGCACTTAGCTGATTTCCTTTTTGGACTGACGATCTTACTACATCAGCCACAAGGAATTATTATGATTTTCATATCTGTATCAGGAAATAAACACTATTAATCTCAGCATAAGTATCACCATATTTTTTTTTCAATAAAGTGAGATCAAATGTAAACTATTTTTCATTCTTACTAAGTGCAGAAATATGGTAGAATTGAAATATGACTTATATCAATTCTTAGTAATAAAGCATGTATAAAATTGTGCTGAGAAAGATTTGCTTTATAACAGTCCAAGTGATACATTTTAGAAACTATTTGCTATCATTTGGGGAAAAGATAGCAGTGAGGAAGCCTTTTTTTACAAGGCTATGAGAAAACTCAATGCAGTCATGCTGCTAGCATTCTAAAGCTAAAATGACATTTTAAGACAAAAGCTAAAAGTCATTTTGGTCTTGGCTAATTCTTCTATAAAATCCTTCGAAAAAAGATCGTAACAGCTTGTTACAATTCCAGGCACTTTAGCCAAGTCTTTCTTCTGGGTTTTTCAACACATGCTAGCGGAAGAACTCCTGTTTGTAATGATAGGCTATCCTCTCAGCTATCAAAAAGAAATGCTAGATCAGGGCTAAGTATGAGCCACACCCAGGGAAAGGATAAAGGAAGCCTTATATTCACAAGACTCTGAGAATTGATCAGCTATTTCAAGGTTCTTAAACTTTATCAATTAAAAAAAAAGATGGATGCAAAAGGATACATACTGAAATTATACACAGTGTTAAAGCAACTTATCTTTCCCAAATATATCTATCTTTGTTTAACTGAGAAAATAACAGTTTGGGAGTGATACCTGCAAACAAGATCAAAATTAAATAAGATCTTAGTATCAGGTGCCATTTCTCATGCATTCTGCTTGTAAAATAAAGAAATGGGTACAGAACTACATTCTGCAAACCTGAAATATGTTATAATCTGTTACTTACCCTCACAGAGTTTCTGCTTTATAACTTCTTTAATTCTTGATATTGCAATATAATCTTCAACATAAAATACATAAGTTGATGATGGCTTGTTGGCAATAGCTTTAAGTTCATCCTCCTCAATTTCTGAGCCAACACCAATAGCAAACAAAGTGATTTTATTTTTCCTTGCTTCTGCTGCTATGTCTTTGACTTCATCTTGGGACTTTCCATCAGTGAGAACAACTGCTATTTTTGTTAAAAATCTTGAAGATTTTGCAAAAAGATGGTCAAAGGCAAACTGAATGGCTCTTCCTGTTCTTGTATTTCCTCCCAAGTAGTGTATGGACTCCATTTCCCTGATGAGGTTCTCAGTGGATTCATGAGTTCCAAGGGGAATTTCAAGTACAGGGTAATCACTGTACTGGACAACTCCAACTTGAATAAACTTTGGCCCTATGTCAAAGTTTCTTGTAATATTGACAAGCCAGCTGTTGATTATTTCAAAATTTTCTGGGCCAACACTATAAGAGCCGTCTAAGATAAAAACTAAATCAGCTGGAGCAGTTCTGCAACCTGAAAAAAAATATATATTAAAAAAAATGAAAGAAATATTTTAGTAAACTCTTCCACTTTCTTCTTCAATGAGAAATGTTTCCATACTAATGGCTGTTTTTATTAGAATCTATATTAAAAAATATGTTTTATTTAAAAACCAATCAGCTGAGTTCATCAGAGAAAACAAAATTGTTTCTAAAAGCCACACAGATCCAACTTGGTATCTGAAAACCATACCATTTTCTGTTTTTTACATTATCACTAGAAGCTACTATGAAAAATTCTATAATTCAATTCCTTGGCTGGCAATTGCCTTTCATGCAATCAGCAGAGAGGAATATATTTTGGTTTTTTCCACATCTCTTTGTTCTCAGAGATTATAAGCATAAAACCCCATTTTTGTTAGCAAACCAAGCGCTTTGTAGAGGAAGACTACAGTCTGAATACTCTAGAATTCAGCACTAATATCCAGTCCTTTTACAAATAAATATTAATTGACTTCTGACACTGCTATATGGCACTTACAGAACTAGTTATTATAAAATCCTGAGTCTCAATTGAATGTTACTGGTAGCATATTCTAAAATTAGTAAAATAAAAATGTCCAGTGAACAAGCTCAGCCTCCAGAACATAAATCATGAAAATATTCAAAAAAACTAATATATGTGCACAATGACTTAGGTATGGATTCAGCTCCCCTAGCTGTAGTCACTTACAAATGGAGCTTTTAGACTAAATGCCAACTACAGGCCTTGCATTGACACAAGCATTTCCATAGGACAGTACTATCCATCTTATATGCACATGCTCAGATGGAGGGAAGAACTCTTTAGAGAGAAACACCTTCCATCAACAGTGAAAGGAACTTAGATAACTGACACAAGGTGCCAAGGACATGGCCCAAACCAGCAGAGATTATTTTGATCCCAGGACACATGAGGTCATAGGGATTGCAATGTGTTACTATTCTTTCTGTTATGTGAAAGGCTGAAGCTCCACCATAGGAATGAGAGCTTTGGTTTGTCCTGACATCTGCCTATGGACACTTCTGGTGAGGTCAAGATTTCAGTTTCCTTGAAAGCAAGTGAAAACAGTCTGGTGGAGAATTGCTTTTACAATGCAGGGGGTGGTGAAAAGACAATGAGAGAAGGAGCAAGGGGTGAATAGAGTGCATCCCCCTGTAGTTTCCGTTGGAAAGGACTTTGGACATCATTGGGCCATGCTTAGAGACCCAGCTTACAGCATACAGACTGAAAAAAATATGTCTTTCTAGGGACCAAAAGGAATTTTATGGAGTTTATTATAAAACACTGAAAACTGCTGGATTGAGAGCAGTGTTGCCCTCCACTGGACTCTGTAGAAGTTCCCTGTCTCTCCTGAACTGGGGAGCTCAGAACTGGACACAGTTCTCCAGATAAGGCCTCACCAGGGCAGAGTAGAGGGGGAGAATGACCTCCCTCGACCTACTGACCACACCCCAGGATTCCCTTGACCTTCTTGGTGGCAAGGGCATATTGCTGGCTCATGCATAATTTACTATCTATCTGGATTCCCAGATCCTTCTCCTCAGAACTGCTTTCCAGCAGGTCCACCCCTAACCTACACTGATGCATGGTGTTGTTCCTTCCCAGGCACAAGACCCTACACTTCCCCTTGTTGAACCCTTAGGTTCTCTGCCCAGCTTTCCAGCCTGTTCAGGTCATGCTGGATGGTAGCACAGCCCTTTGGAGTGTCAGCCACTCCTCCCAGTTTGGTATCATCAGCAAACTTGCTGAGGATAGACTTTGTCCCCTCATCCCTATCTTTGATTAATATGTTGAACATGACCAGGCCAAGTATTGACCCCTGGGGGACACCACTAGCTACAGGCCTCCAACTTGACCCTGCTCCATTAATCACAACTCTCTGAGTTCTGTCACACAGCCAGCTCTCAATCCACCTCACTGTCCACTCATCTAGCCCACACTCCCTAAGTTTCCTAATGCGAATGTTATGGGACACATTGTCAAAAGTCTTGCTGAAGTCGAGGTAGATGACATCTGCTGCTCTCTCCTCATCCAGCCAACCAGTTATGTCATCATAGAAGACTGACAGATTGGTCAAGCATGAATTACCCTTGGTAAATCCATATTGACCACTGCCAATAACTTACTGTTCTTCAATGTGTTTAGAGATGACATCCAGAACGAGTCATTCCATCACCTTCCCAGGGACAGAGGTGAGACTAACCTGCCTGCAGTTCTCTGGGTCCTCCTTCTTGCCCTTTTTGAACACTGGAGTGATACTGGCCTTCCTCTAGTCCTCAGGCACCTTTCCTGTTCTCCATGACCTTTCAAAGATGACAGAGAGTGGCCCAGCAATAGCATCTGCCAGCTCTCTCACCACTCACAGGTGCATCCCACCAGGGCCCATGGACTTACAGATGTCCAGTTTGGCCAAGTGGTCTCTAACCTTGTCCCCCTCTATTGAGGGAAGGTCTTCCTCTTTCCAGATGTTTCCCCTTGCCTCCAGGGTCTGGGATTCATGAGGGACAGCTTTAGCAGTGAAGACCAAAGCAAAGAAGGCATTCAATAGGTCTGCCTATTCTGTGTCTTCCACCACTAGGTTGCCTACCTCATTCATCAGCAGGCTTACATTTTTCCTGCTCTTCCTTTTTCTATTAATACACTGAAAGAATCTCTTGTTTTTAAGCACAGTGGCCAATACGAGTTCTGCTTGAGCTTTGGCCCTTCTAATTTTCCCCCTGTATAGCTTCACTACGTCTTGGTATTCCTCATAAGTTGCCAACCCTCTTTTCCAAAGGCCGTAAACTTTGCATTTATTCCTGAGGTCCAGCCAAACTTTGTCTTTCATAAAAGCTTCTTTGCTTTAGCTTTTTCTTTTCCATAAACCAGATTTAGAATATAAAACTTGGTTTGGTGGGGTATGAGATGCTAATTTTGAAGATATGCAAGAATATCTGTCCCAGAGCTAGAGTTATCTCAGCTTCCTCTCACAGAATCTTTAGTTCCCTTATTTAGTTTCTCACGTAGCATTAAGCTATTCAAAACATGACTTCTGAAGAAATGAAAATATAAATACTCAAGACACAAGTTTAAATCAAGACTGAAGCTTTACAGTTCTATCTGCCCCCTTAAGCATTTCAGCAACACAAAACAAAATAAATATATTCCCTTCCTAAATAAGAAATAAGACATTTAAGTTATTTACATATCATAGGATTTTCACCAGGAAAATAATACTGGGAAAAAAAATCACCATCAACAGAAGCCTACACGTGGACATGAAAAGCTGTTTTCTAAATTCAAGGAATGCTTTATAGTTGCCCTTATCTGAAATATAAAACTTAAGACGTACTTGCTCTTTTTTCCCCATCTTCAGCTGAGATGTAATCATGAAGTAGCAGAATCAATAGCATCTGAAAAAGTGTTACAACCTGTGCCATGTGTATTGTATTTTCAAAGTCTTGAGATCAAACTAGATGGGGAAGAAATAAAAAGAAAATACAGTGTTATTACAAAACACAACTAAACTTCTGTTTTAAAACCTGTGAATGGGGAGCAACTTTGAATCAAGTCTGCAAGACCAGATGTAAGGCCAGTCTGCAATGGACCACAGACCCAAACAGTGTCTGTCAGGCACATAAAGCCCAAAATTGAGATTCTAAACTCAACAGTGCTCACTCACCAGCTTTTCTGTGGAAGCTCAGTTTTCACTAAGGCACATTCATACACTTCTGCTAGGTACATACATAAATAGGTTATATTATCTATTCCAGTCATTCCTGCCCAACCATTATCCCACTTCACATGCATTCTCCAGTCAGTCATCCAAAATATGGCAACTGTTTATGTACCAGGTACTGGTGTGGAGATGTTACTTCAGACTCAACCTGCATACTTTAACAGAAACTTTCTTCCCCATTGAATTATTTGGCTTGCCCTCAGAACAGCACTGTCTTTGCACTGCTCAGTAACTGGCCAATCAACTTATTGCTTTAAAATTTTCTCATATTTACAGGAAAATCTCTAAACCATTAAAAGGAAAAAAAAAAAAAAAAGCTACATTCAGGACAAATGTTTTAGTAGCAATTCAAGGCCGATTCACTGCACTGCCCTTCAGAGTCACTAATTTAAGTATTTTACATTGAGTCAGAAGATTAAATATTCCTCTTCTCTCTACAGGCTTTTCTTTGTCTTTAGTTAGTCTTTATCTGTTATATACCAGTTTATCACTTACATTCTTGCTGCTTTTATCAGCCTATTTCCTAAAATTGAAATGCCTTCATTGAATAAGGACAAGACTCCTTTCCTTTTCATATCTTTTCTTCTAGTCATAGATCTTATGCCCACCTCAAAACTATCTACACACTCACCTAAAAGGTCAAATATAAATGAAAATATTTATTACACAACAAAACTAAAAATAAATATATTGGGCGGTTGGTGAAAGCTATGAGTATTTGTCCTTTTTATATCACTAATCTTGAATTTTGAACTCTCCAGGGTAGACAAGGTGTCCACCACATTACCAGTAACAAGGTACTAGCAGATGTTCTAAAACTTCTGTAGTGCTGGAAAACACTATTCTCCAACAATACAGCAAAACACAATTCAGCCTGCCCATTGCAAGTGCCTCTTAGAAAATGAAATAGGTAAATAGAAATAAGTAACCATTTTCTTTTCCATGACTAGTGAAGGGGGTAAACTCTGTTATTCATCTTACCTTCCATGAGAATGGGTGAGAAACCAGAAGCACTTTGGAGTCCATGGGATAGGACATGACATGCACTGTTCCAATGATACTACATAAATACTGGGATGTCAACTTCATTTAAATAGATTAATTGCCAGTTTCTTGTCCCAACTCTTTGAAAAAGGATCTGTTTAAACTATGCAATTAAGTGTGTAAGTAATGGGCATGATGAAATTTTGCTATAACAACTGTGGACAATTTGCAGTTATTATTTCAGACTGGATGGTTTGTAAGATTAATAATTTTTAAATCACTTTCAGCCTTTTCTATAGCAAGTGTTTACTGAAGGGTAAAATACATCTCTCACAAAGCCAAACTGAAAAATACCAAAAAAATTTTAAAAAAAGGCAAAAAAACCCAAGCATTAAAGAAATTAAACCTACGTGGTAATTTGAATAGCAGGTAACCAAAGAAGAACAAATGCATTATTTGAGAATATCAGAAAAATGTCGGCCTGTAACTGAAAAAAGACAGACTGCTGTACAGAGCTGATGGTTTACCAAAAAACTACAATGCTGGCCCCAATAAACTATAAAATCCTATATATTAACCCAAAAAGAAAAGGTCAAAAAATTGATAAGGAATAGTTGTGAAAAAGACAAATGAGGAAAGTAATACAAAAGTACATTACATACTTTTTGGTGTCTGTCATCTCTGTGGTTGTCTAAATGGTTTATTATGTAAAAACCATTGAATTTACATAAAAAGAAAAAAATAAACAAGCAACTCAGCGACTTCACTGCATCACAGAATCACACAGAGAATCACAGAATGTTAGGGGTTGGAAGGGACCTCTGGAGATCATCGAGTCCACCCCCCCTGCCAGAGCAGGACCACCACAGAATCTAGGGCATCAGTCTTAACTAAAAAGAGTACAGGCACTGCTACCCTTAACATTGCACCTTGTTTTGAAAATAAAACAGCACACTAAATGTACAAAATTGTTTTAACAACACACTCCCTACAGCACAAAACTTTTTCTGTGCTCCATGCCAAAAGCACAGGCACTTCAGGTCAGGTGAGGACACCAGGATCCTGCTCGCTGGCACAAGTCTCCTTTCAACAACCCCTGCAGAAGCCATTAATGCCTTCCTTTAACTGCACTGCTGTCCTGGTTTGAGCCAGGATGAAGCCAATTTTTCTTTTTACTGATTTTTTTTTTTTTCCTTCAGTAAGCTTTCTTGTAACTAGCAACAGTGTGTTCTGCTAGGCTGATAAGACAGTGGAATGTTTTTCTAACTACTGAGGCTTCAAGGCTGCACCTGCACTCTGCCGGCTCAGACACTATGGGGAGATCTGTGACCCCCCCGTAGGAGGCTGAGTTAGATGGACACCAAAATTGGCCAAAGATATTCCATTCCATATATCTACGTAAGCTCAAAGGAAGGTCAGAGATGACAGAAGACAACTTCCTTCCTTCTTCTTCTCCCCTTCTCTTCCGTCCATGGCTGGCGTCCAGGGAGGACTCTGCTCATCCATCACCGTCGACCCTTAGGCTCGAGATCTCCTGACCCTCATAACTCTCTGCTTTCTCCAGCAGCAGCTTCGGGATTCCTCGGGACTCTTCCCAGTTCAGGGAAGTGCTGTGGGAGTTGCTGGGGTGGGGGGAGGCGAGAGGCTTTTGCCCATACCTGAATATATATCTGTATATAATTGTATATATTTTCTTGTATCATTCATTAGTGTTTTAATTAAAGCTGTGTAGTTTAGTTTTCAATCCAGCCAAGTCTCTCTCTTTTTCTCTCTCTCCTTCCTTACCTGGGTGGGAGGGGGAGGGGATCGAGAGCATTGTTGTCGGACCTGAGTCAAACTGTGACAAC